CCCACTGTGCTTTAGGACAGGCACTGGAAAATGGCCGCCCTATGGAGGATCTGCGCTGGACGCTGAGATATTTCGCCCTTTGGAACACACTGAACTGGTTTTCAATGCATTTCAATGGGCTTTTTCGTTTCGCTTGACGAGGATTTCGCTTAACAGCAATTTGAAAGGAACAAATTATCCTCATCAAGCGAGGCACCACTGTACGTATATACATATTAATATCATCTTGCTCTTTGCCTGAGGCAGCAAAATATCTTGGTTTGACATGGCTTTCATATGCTCTTTGGGAACAGAAAATTGAGACCTCTGGGTAGTTTGGGCGGCATATAAATTGAATAAATAAATAAATAAAATAAATATTCAAGATCAATAAGATCAATAATCTACAAATGTTGTCAAGGTTCATGGTTAATTTCACATCTAAATTCAACATATGTTAAATTATACAGTTGTATGAAATGCATTTGTTCCTGGTGGTGGAGTCCTAGCGTTCCCTTGCAGTGTATATATTTGTTCTCAGCAAAGGAACAGTTTTAAAAGGTCACTAATGTCCATTTATGGATCACATGATCTTTACAAGTTGATTAAACGCTATAATAATCAGTGAAGCAAAGCACTAAGTCTTTGCACAGCACATTTAGGTAAGTAATGGCACCAGTTCTAAGCATAAATGACTTGCAGGCTGCCTTGTGAGAAAAGTGTGAGAGGCTTAATTGTTTAAAATCCATTGTTCTGTCATTTCTGGAACACTAAAGGCTATTCCATAATGATCTTCATGCTGATACATGCCTGAAGACTAACTTGACCAGCCCATTTAGTTTGGCAGTTTCCTAAAGCAAATGTACTTTTTAATCAAGCTGACATTCCAGAGTCAATACCTAATATTTACTCTGAGGGGATCATGGAAAAGTTATCTAGATAACTGCCAATAAAAAGAAGGGAAATCAAATCTTAACCCTCGCATCAGTGTTTTATGCGACAGATTTATTTCTGGATTAACACCAGAACACATTCTAACAGATACATGTGCACTTTTAAAAACTACTGTACTTTCAGAACACAATGTAACTTCAAGATAATGCAATTAATTTTGCACACAGTCCCAGCCATCCCCTTTTCCTAGACAGTCAGTGCACCAGATAGGACTATTCTTTCTGGCTAGTGCAGATACATTTGGAATTCCACAAAGTATCCAAAAACCTATCAAATATGGAGTAAATTGTCCCAAAGAATCCAGGTGGGTCCCCCCTCCTGCCCTCAGGATTATGTCACTGTCCAAATATTGGTGTACCAAGGAAAACCCTTGCAATGGTTATGTACTCAGTTTGATAGCTTTGTTAGCACAATAACAATCATCCTCCATAAAAGCAACTACATGGTGATTAACCTTCTCTCTACATAATGTTCTTACTATAAACACCATCTTTACAGCACACTAAATACTTTGACTGAACGGAACTGTGTGTGTGCCCTACCTATGGGAATCTAGAATTAATGTATGGGTGCTGCGGGTTAAACTGCAGAAGCGTCTGTGCTGCAAGGTCAGAAGAACTAGCAATCATAAGATCGAATCCATGTGACGGAGTGAGCTCCCAGCACTTGTCCCAGCTCCTGCCAATCTAGCAGTTTGAAAGCAAGTAAAAATGCAAGTAGATAAATAGGTACCACCTCGGTGGGTAGGTAACGGCGTTCCATATCTAGTCGCGCTGACCATGGAAATTGTCTTCGGACAAACACTGGCTGGTAGATGGGGATGAGCACCATGCCCTAGAGTCGGACACAATTGGACTAAATGTCAAGGGGAACCTTTACCTTAAGATAATTAACACTGTTATTATAAATCTTAAACATCCAATCTTCTGGCAAATTAGGCTTCATTTGCCAGGTTTGTACAGATTTTGACAGGACATGCTTTTAGAGGATGAGGACAGTTTACCACAAGAGTTTATATTGTACTTCTCTTCAACATTGGTTTCCTTTGTTTGTTTTGCTGGAATCTGTGTGTGCAGAGATTAATAAAATGCTTGTGGACCCAGATCTGTTTGCTTTAGAGAACTAGCTAACAGGATTTCTTGGTACTTGTGTTTAAATGCAGGGTTGGATTGTGGCCCTTCAGATGTTACTAGACTGCAACTCCCATCAGCCATAGTCACCATAGCAAATCATGGGTGTTTGCCAGAAGCAGCAGGGTCTCTTGCCTTTACCTAGAGTCCTACATTTACTATTTTAATGCATACAGACAGATGCACTATGTAGTGGCTTGTTATGCACATAGATTATGCTTATACACCACTATAAAACTCCTCCCTCTTGAAAATTCCTGAAGACATTCTTCTATCAACAATAAGGGATGGTATGAACTGGAATCCAGAAACATCTAGAGAACGACAAGTTGCCTACTCTACTTATATGCATTACAGCAGTGGTTCTTAACCTTTGTTACTCGGATGCTTTTGAACTGCAACTCGCAGAAACCCCAGTCAGGACAGCTGATGGTGAAGGCTTCTGGGAGTTGCAGTCCAAAACTCCTCAGTAACCCAAGGTTAAGAACCAGTGCATTACAGTATAATTAGCAGTGCTGTTGGTTATTTCAAGATATTTTCTGCACTCCAAGTATGTGCTTACCTAGCCATATTTTGCCACTATTAAATTTTCTTTTGTATACATACACTCTGACATGGACACAGGCCATCATAAAAATATAGAACATTAAGAAATACAGTATCTGCCAGGGTTTTGTGATCACCAAAGACTGAGGTACGTTTCGTAAATACCATATTATAGTATTTCATATTTGTATCTCAAATGAAGTGTATGGCATTTTTTTCTTCCTACCCTGCACCAGTCTTTATGGATACATTTATAAACCTTCTACTGTATTAAAAATTCAAACAGAAAACTTTATAAAAAGAAAACAAAAACAGCAGTATCAATATTGCTGGGAGGAGGAGAAATTTTCATTTTCTGTCTGAGAAGGTAGATTGTCATCTACAAAAGTTCACACTAAAACTAAAAGTCTTTTAGTTTAAAACGATACCCAAAATACCTTTTCTTTCATCATACATATTGAAATAAACTAACACAGCTACCTCTTTGAAGAAAATTTAAAAAACAATCAGATGTGTTGAAGATAATGGTTGAAGCTGAATAAACAAGTAGATTCCAAAAGTCAATGAATAATTGGCATCCTACTCAATGTGGAATACTTGTTCACCAGTTCTCCCTACATTTTTCATTATTTGCCACAAAACATAAATAAAGCTTCCAAGTGTGGGTCCCCTCCAAGCAATGGTTCCAACTGTAAACTCTATGGTTTTTTCCCCTCACCATTCTTCAGTTCTACACCAATATATTTATTTATTTAAACAATTGTACCCCACTTTTCTCCTTTAAAAGGACCCAAGGCAGCTTAGATCATGAAAAAGACAATATCTAAAAGCTAAAAACAGTATTATATTAAAATGGTAAATAAAATCAATACTGAAAACACATTTAAAAGCAACAAGGCATAACAATCCATTTTAAAACTCCTCTCAAACAGTCACTAAAGGAATGCCTGTTTGAAGATAAAGGTTTTTGTTGCAAATCTTATCCCTACAATAATGTGCATTTAAGCAACAACAAGATGTTGGCAGGATAAAATCAGAAGAGGAAGTAAAGAAAACAGACAGACTACAAAGTGGAAGTGAAGAAAGGGTGGCAATCAAGAGAACTGCACAGTAGAAGGGATCTGGCAAGGATTCCAAATGATGGGTTAAGACCTTTCAGTCTACTCACAAAGGCCTTCTTTCTGGGTGTCAAGGCAAAGTTGCACAAGAAACAGACTTCTTTATACTGTACTAAATAACCAAATAACAGTCATGAGTAACTTTTGATCATGCACAACTGTGCTATTTGTTGATTGCCTTTAAAAAAACAAAAATTTGGTAGCAACTGATGAATGGGAAGGTGCCCAGAATATATCCGTGGAACTTGTTTTAAAGCAAAGGTCCACCCCAGGTTTTTGTGAGACAAAATGTATCTTCAATCCATGCATAGGGACATTTTTCTCTGTCTGTTAAACACATACTGACCAGTCAAACCAGCCCTATATATCAAAAGGTTAAAGACTTCCAGTTTAGAGAATATGTTATGAGTCTTTCTCCTTCCAGGGAACAAATCTGGCTTGCTCTTTAGATTTTGCTGTGTGGACCACAGAGGTAATATCAAAGAAAAACGAGTAAACAGAAATGTTCTGCAAGCAAATGCTTATTGTTGCAAGACCTCAATGAGATGTCCAGGGCCTCGTTGTATGGGCAGAACAGGCAAGAGGAAGCAAACTTCAGTAGCTCTAGGCCCCACATTTTGAAGTAATGCCAGTTACTGTGGGAATCCCAACAATACCCTTTATCCCACTGGGGAATTCCATGGCACCATCTAAAGCAAAGATAGATGAAAAAGGGGCTCCATAACATTATTAATTCCGGAATATTACATGATTTAAGTGGGTACATCATGAGCCAAGGAGCCTCTCAGCCAGGCTTGCCAGTTCCTAATTATTTTTATTTGTAATTGGCACTGTTGCTGCGCCTCTAAGAGCTGCCTGACAAGCAAAAACCAAACCATCAAAGCTCTCCCAATCCTTAGGTGGGTGGGTGTTGCGAATCCCGATTACAGTAATTTCAATGCGCCAAGATGCTGCTTTTAAAAACACAGAAAAGAGCAGCTCTAAAAAAAGTTGGCAACAAGCAAACTTCACACTGAAGCCGCAAGAACATCCTGTCGCTCATGTGCATATGTGGGTGGGTGGGTGAGTGGGGTGGGGGTGGTGAGGCGGCAGACTTGTCTTCCCCCCCCCATTCAAAAAGGGCAAAGGCACTCCGTCTAAACTCGGAGGGAAACCAGCCTTCTGAGGAGAGCTTGCCCACCCTCTGCCTTTCCTCTCCCTCCCTCAACTACAAAAGGCTCAACCGCCTCTCGCGCGCCGCTTGGCCATGCGTGACCGGCCACGCGCCGCTCACCTCCAATCCTTTCCCCGGCCTCGAGCCTCGCTTCTGCCGCCAAAGCCTGGTAGCTGCCGCCCGGAACAGTAGCGGCTCGACTCAGTTACACGGTAACCCGAGGTAACTCTCTCCACCCTTCGCCAGAGGTCTCCTCCTCCCGGAACCCGGCAGCCCAAAAGTGGCCATGGTGATAATTCTCTCCCCCCCCTCCTCCCGACAAACAACAACAAAAAGGGAAGGTGGGGGCAGGACGGCTGTTTAAGGTCCCCTAGAAATAAGCCTCGGTGCACGGGGCTGCTGGGATGGGTAGTTTTCATAGCAATGCAGGGCCGTAGCGGGAGGAAACGTGTAGCACTACAAATCCCAGCATGCAACGAGGCACCGCTCTCTTATGTTTGCTCAAGGTGGGCACATGCTCTCGCTGCTCTCTGACGGCCGAGTGGCTGCAGGGCTAGCGGAGTGGCCCGGTCGTGAGGGGTCCCTCTTTGGTCCGGCTTCTCTTTTTAGGCCAAAGCTGTACTTCGGCTCGACCGCGCGGAGCATAAACCCTTTGCCGGCGGCATTCGTGTTGGCCGAGGTGGGGGTGTCTTTGTTACTCTCACGTAAATGTGTACAACTCCAAAGAAAATTGTTAAGACTAGGAACGAAGAGAAATGTAGACGTTATGGTTTGATTTGACGTGTTTGTATCGTTGTTGTTTTTTAAAGGAGGAGAGGGAACCGAGACCAGTGTCAATATAAATAAACAATTAAAAAAAGGGGAAAAAAGCAACTACATGATCGTTGTATGCCATAGATATTTCAGATACAAGGCGTCGACCTGCTAAAGCATGGGTGGGCGAGACTGTATAGCTCTCAGTGCCATGCATGGTTTACTCAGATGTAGGTTTCCATTGGGTCCTGACAAGGTTACTCTGAAGTCTCTGTAAATTGGTTTGCAGCTTAAAACGAGAACAGGAACAAACTTTAAAAAACACATTTGCACTCCTGTCTTGGCATTATCTTTAAACTGGAGTGGGCAATGTTATTTAATATGCTGACATTCCTTTACTATCCATCTCGGCTTTCAGCACTTGATTCAACTGAGAAGTTATCTCCTGAATAATTTTGATATTTTGACATGTACTGTATAGATGGGATATAAATATAACAAATAAGTATGTCATCTGGCTCTCAACATGGATTGGAAACATGTGCCAGAAAACTTGAATTGGCTGTATATCTGATGGAAAGCATGTGTTCTGTGCAGTTTAACTTGTAGTGGACATGAATTACCGGTAACAATTTATGGCATTGCTTTTGCTCAGTAAACTTAATTTTATTATCTGTGGTAAAATCCATTTGGATGTCACTTCAGTCAGTGTTAGGTTTGCATACAACAAAATGTACAGAGATCCATTTATTTTAAATTCTCTAATTTTCATGTACAGTGAATTTCAAGATTCTTCAGCAGGTGCAAGAGCACCTCGCCTCAGTGACTCTGCAATGGTGTTTTCATGAAAGGAATTCTGTGATATCTCCTGTCTTGTCAACAGCTATTTCTGCACAACTCAGCAGTGTCAACTTTCCCACTAGCTCTCTGGGTGGCCAGAGTTTCCAAGCTGTCTTTCTTTCAAACTCCTTAAGCCTGACAACACTTGTCTACCTGATCACAATAGCAACCTCTAAATTATCTGACTTAAAACTTGTAGGTGAAAACCCTCCATTCACTAATGAGCAAATCCGATGACTACATTCAGAGAGCTGTGCACAGTTAATTCTGAGAGTCTAAGGGAGATCTACACTTTTTAGAAACGCTTTACTAATCAAAAAGAAAAGTGTGCTGCTTGTATACCACCACATAGTGCTTAAAGCTCTATCCGGGTGGCTTACAGTTTAACTAAAGAAGCTACAAGTTACCCCCAGTGAGCTGGGCACTCAGTTTACCAACTTCTAGGATCGAACTCAGGTTGTGAGCAGAGTCTTCACTGCAGTTTAATTGCTGTGCTACGAGGCTCTTTACTGACAGTCCTCCCCTGCTTACTTATACTCATTTATATTGACTAACAAATAACTCTGAAGCTGGGGAGAATAGGTTGTGATTTGGCAGGAAGGTCATCAGACTACTAGAGGAAATGTCATCCATTTTCACTGTTGTGTTCAGAGGATCTTGGGCAAAGCAACAGTAGCATTTTTGATTCCAGCCACATTCTCTAGATTAGAAGAACTAAAAATGGAAGGGCTGAATGATAGTCTCCTTCATTGTTTTGTTTGGGGAAGCAATACTGAAAGGGAGAGGTCATCCCCGCCCCTGTGCATATCATTAGCAAATTACTGAATAGCCACAGTGTCCTGACTTTCGTCAAGCTTAATATAGGGTGTTTGATTCTCAGCAATATCTCAGGTTTGAAATTTGAAGAGGAATGTATAACATTTTGAAATTCTCCAGTAGGCCTGTCCAAAGTACTGAAAAAGTTCAGTGTGAGTAACTTCTATTTATATGAAACCCACTGGATGTCATTATCCAAACATGGGTCATGGAAATCATTCACTGAATGTGTTCAGGAGTTTCAGAAAGTGATTTGTAAAGCCAAATCAAACAAAACTGGAATTTGACTTGCAACAGGGTTTTATTAATCTGTTAGTATAAATGAAGGAAGACAGGCTAACCCCCCAAAACAATACAGTATTATTTTATTTATTAAAAAACAGAACTATATTGTATCATGCATTTAAAGTATTTGCTTATTGCCTTTCTGGCCAGAAAATTCCCTTTGTGTGTTATAATATATTAAAAAAAAAAAACTAATTAAACCATTTAAAAAGAAATTAAAAATATTGTTGGAAAATAGATCTAGGCATTCTCTACATTAAAAGGAAACCAGGCATAGAGATCAAAGGCCTTACAGAAAAGTATACTTCAGAAAAGTATATTTTAAATATTATTAAATTTTATTTAAAAGTGGAAATTAACCTTATTAATCAAATATTAAAAGCATTGTATAATTCAGCTCCTCAGTTGTAAGAGTGGCTTAACCTCCCCCCCACTTGTAGTGATCCTAGAAGACATCTTCCATGCTTTTAGTAGTGATAACACCCCTGCCATTAATACCAAATGGGAATATTTTTATGTCACTATTTGTAGGTACTCTTTTCTCCCCAGGATCGTGATCTGATTTATGCCACCTCTCTTGGGTTTGCATTTTATATATATATAAAAGGATGGAGACATAGGGCCCCATCAGCGGGCTGTGTCATCTCTCTTCAGGCACTTGCAGAGTTTCCCACTATAAGCTCCTTAGTAGACCTGTGAAAAACTATGTTGAATTATGATTGTGGAAGATAAGAAGGCAGGAGTACTTCCAGAAACACCAGAAGGGTAAGGTCAAAGAAAAAGCCTGGAAATGAGTTGGGAACAGGAAAAAGTGATGAACTCACCCAGTAGAGTGGTAAGGAGATCCTTGAGAAGTGGCGATTATAAAAGGGCTTAGAAGCAGCTGAGGGGGGAGGAAATAAGTGAGCACAGAGACAAGGTTGACAGTTCTGTTCAAATTGAGGATTTGCCTCTGAGGCAAAGGGAAGAGAAGAAGATTGTGAGGAAGAAAATACCTGGGATGATGCTGTACAGGACCCTGAGGTATAGTCCTAGCATCTGGATATTGTGATCCCAGAACATGAACCACCTGAGGACTAGAATGCATATACAAGGAAGATCCACAGACTGAGATATTAGTCCAGCTGAGAGTATCCTGGGAAGAGTTGGAAAGACACCTCAACCCACATACTCCACCCAGGCCATCTTATTGGGATGAGTGGGAGAGAAGGGAGAGATGCCATCGAGCCCAGGAGGGATTCTGAGAGAAGCAGGAGCCCGGGAATAGGCAGGTGTGTCCTCAATGTGGGGTTCTAAGTCATCCCTCTTGTGCCACCCCTTGTATAGTCCAACAGAGACAACACCTCTAGACAAACTAGGACAGAACACCCCATCATCAACAATGGTAAGTACAGAGGTTGGGAACCCTGGGGTGGAAGACCAGTGTTGAAAACTGGCTTGAGACCATTCCCTATTGTTGTTAACAAATCTTCTCCCAGTTTAATAAACCCTGTTTTGTTGAACAATCCTGGAATGGAAGAGGAAGTGCCCCGCTGACTCAGTAAGAGCCAGTGGTGCTCACAAAATACACATAACCTAAGGTCTCTGCGTTAGTTCAGCATCCCATGGCTGGCATATCAGTGGTTCCTCCTCACCCTTCAGGTGCTAGTGAGTGGCCTCACAAAAACCCCTCCATCCCGTTCTCTTTGCTGGCGTTGACTTAACTTTTCTCTAAGACACAGGGGCCCTGCCCTGAGGAACCACTGTCACTGGTCTAATGATTGCCTCCTTTTACTAGAAAAAATAATGAAACCTTTTTTTTCTAGAAGGGTCTGCTTCTGGTTATTCTGCATCCAACTCAATGCCATTATGGATATGGTGCATTCTAACATGCGGAGGTTGTGTTCAGTTTTAAATGCTAGCTGAGAACATCTGTGTGCTCTTTCCCAGCCAGTAATATTTATGACTGCTTTTCTTTTGTATCGCACTTGGAATATTTTAAACTATTTGCCAGGCAGAATCTAAGGCTTCCACATGCCTCTGCTGTGTAAGCTAGACATGTCAGGGTGCTGTGATATGCTGGCACGTTCCAGCAGGACCCAAGGCAACTTAAGCTATTTTAAAAAAATACAAAAACTGGAAAACACTAGTTACTGGGAAAACTGTTGCCTGAAAAGAAATACTTTTTGCCTGCTTGTGGAAGGATAGCAATTATGGGGCCAGCCTGGCCTTCTGTGGGAGGGAGTTCCAGAGTCTGAGAACATTGACCGAGAAGGCCCTCTCCCGTGTCCCCAACAAGCGTGCTTGTAAGGGTGGTAGGACAGAGAGAAAGGCCTCCCTTGATTATCTTATATCCCAGGCAGGCTCACAGAGGGAGATTCGGCCTTTAAAAAGCTTGGACTCAAGCCATTTATGGCTTTATAAGTCAAAACCAACTCTTTGAATTGTGCTTGGAAACAGACCGGCAGCCAATGAAGCTGCTTTAACAGTGGAGTTATTCTGTGTAACCAGCTCCAGTTAACAACCTGGCAGCAGCATTTTGTACCCACTGAAGTTTCTAAACAGTTTTGAAAGGCAACCCCACATGGAGTATGTTACAATAAACCTAATAGAATTTAAAGATATGTGTCACTGTCGCCAGATCATACATTTTCAGGAATGGTTGCAGCTGGTGAAC